TAGCTTCTTGCTCCTAGTAGTAAGGCCAGGAGCCCCTAGTAGTTTCTAGGAACTAGTAGTAAGGCCAGGAGCCCCTAGTAGCTTCTTGTTCCTAGTAGTAAGGCCAGAAGCCCCTAGTAATTTCTTGTTCCTAGTAGTAAGGCCAGGAGCCCCTAGTAGCTTCTTGTTCCTAGTAGTAAGGCCAGGATCCTAGTAGTAAGGCCAGAAGCCCCTAGTAATTTCTTGTTCCTAGTAGTAAGGCCAGGAGCCCCTAGTAGCTTCTTGTTCCTAGTAGTAAGGCCAGGAGCCCCTAGTAGCTTCTTGTTCCTAGTAGTAAGGCCAGGAGCCCCTAGTAGCTTCTTGTTCCTAGTAGTAAGGCCAGGTAGTTTCTTGTTCCTAGTAAAGGCCGGGGGCCCCTGGTAGCTTCTTGCTCCTAGTAGTAAGGCCAGGAGCCCCTAGTAGCTTCTTGCTCCCAGTAGTAAGGCCAGGAGCCCCTAGTAGTTTCTTGTTCCTAGTAGTAAGGCCCTGGTAGTTTCTTGTTCCTAGTAGTAAGGCCAGGAGCCCCTAGTATCTTCTTGCTCCTGGTAGTAAGGCCAGGAGCCCCTAGTAGCTTCTTGCTCCTAGTAGAAAGGCCAGGAGCCACTAGTAGCTTCTTGTTCCTAGTACTAAGGCCAGGAGCCCCTAGTAGCTTCTTGCTCCTAGTAGTAAGGCCAGGAGCCCCTGGCAGCTTCTTGCTTCTAGTAGTAAGGCCAGGAGCCCCTAGTAGCTTCTTGCTCCTAGTAGTAAGGCCAGGGCCACCTAGTAGCTTCTTGCTCCTAGTAGTAAGGCAAGGAGCCCCTAGTAGCTTCTTGCTCCTAGTAGTAAGGCCAGGAGCCCCTAGTAGCTTCTTGCTCCTAGTAGAAAGGCCAGGAGCCCCTAGTAGTTTCTTGTTCCTAGTAGTAAGGCCAGGAGCCCCTAGTAGTTTCTTGTTCCTAGTAGTAAGGCCAGGGGCCCCTGGTAGTTTCTTGTTCCTAGTAGTAAGGCCAGGAGCCCCTAGTAGCTTCTTG